GCCCATCCTCCAGGGGCCGGCAGGGAGAGTCAAATACAGTTAAATCTGAGACACAAACGGGGAGCAGAGGGGAGATGGCAAGCCGGTGCCAACGCTCCCTCCAATCTCCAGGTAACCAGAAGGCAGGGAGCGGGTCATACCAGGAATGACTGAGGGTAGTGATGTAGTAAAAACAAAAAAATTCCATCCAGTTCCTCAAGGGCCCACAGACATGTGACTGTTCTGCTACGTGTCTGACCAGCGATCCTCCAACCACAGGCACAGAGGCTTAGCCTGCTGAGCCACACACCAGCCCCACAGACATGGTGTGTGAGTGTTACTGTCAGCAGGCGTGTCCATGTGATGGAGCCCAGAGCTGGGAGCTTCCAGAAGACTGCTGTCTCTGACTGCTCACTGGCGCCCTCTGCTGGCCACAGCTGCTCCTGGCTGAGGATGTGACGACACAGCTAGTCAGGCAGTAACAGATTAACATTGTTTTAAATATACAATGAAACTGTATAAATATATCATTTACTCCCCCTGTTGGATTAATAACCAGGCTGGATTTTTTGGAACCCAGATTTTATACTGACCAAATGTAGTGATGTAATTAAAAAATACAGGTTTTCCATGACCATCCTTTGTGTGACAAACAACCAAGATCCAGAATTTTACAGAATGTTCCAGTTTGCCTTAATACTGGGAAAAACACTCAGAAGGTCTTTTCAGTTCTGGATACTGAAGGAAGTATTTCTGTAAATACTGGCTGTGGTATGTGACTCTGCAGGTTCTGACTCGGTGCCTGTGAGTGGACGGTCGCTGGTTCAGATCTCCTGGCCGGCAGTGACGTCATCACTGGCCCCCAAACTTCCTCTCACCTGTGTGTGTGTCTGTGTGTTTCATGGAGAGCAAGATGGGATAAGCAAAAAGACAGATCCCACATGGGGATGAGTGAAGCATCAATCAAAGTGCTGTTCAGAGCTTTATGAAAATACTTATGCAGATATTAATGACCCTCAGTGTAACTGGCCCTTTAAGATGATTAAAAAGCAGTTTGGAGTTGGCTACAGTGTTTCAGGAAGAATGATCTGTCTTGGACATTGAAACAACAAAATAACTGCTATATTTATATTAAGCCATCAGTGAATAAATTGTAGAGCATGTTCACTGCCATGGCCTCATCTTACAGAGCTAGATTTAATAGTAACATGTACAGAACATTATTAGTGAATATGGTCTATTTGATATGTACAGTGGTGGGGGAGTCCCGCTAATCCGCTAACTGCAATTAGCAAAGGTAACTTTTCCATTAGTGGATTAACGTTTCTGCTAACTTTGAAATCATTAACAGACCATTTAACTTCCACTAATTTTAATTCCACTAACTGTAAATCCGCTAACATTTTTTCGCAGGTAAAATGAAGTTTAATGGGCAAAAACGTTTTGTAAACATGTCTGCAACATTCTACCTGTCACGCTATTGGTCGACTAGGTGTAAATACAGGACGTGATTGGTCGATAATTTGTCGGATTTAAGATAGACTGGACTAAATATAAGTGAACGACGATAAAGTCCATTTAAACTGGGGGACCCTGAACTAAGCAGAGAACAGGAGCCTGTATTACAAAGCTGGAGTTTTTGCTTAGCCAGATAACTTGTTGGATTTAAGGTACCCTAGTTTAGAAGACCTTTATCTTTCTTCATTTGCATTTAGCCTAGACTATCTCAAATCCAACATGTTATCTAGCTAAGCAAGAGATCCTGCTTCGTGATACAGGCCCTTGTTTGTATTTTTCGGGTTCTGATCTGAAGGTAGCCAGTTCCAGCCCAGCCTCAGTGCATCTGTAGCTGTTTGAGCAAGACCCCTAACCCACCCCCAGCTCCCTCAAGGCCCCTAACCCACCCCCAGCTCCCTCAAGGCCCCTAACCCACCCCCAGCTCCCTCAAGGC